GCAGAAAGATGGGTGGTGAGCCCTTCGTCTCATGAACGAGAGGAGTGCACACACACACACACACACGCACGCACGCACACACACCCTACACGCACATGCAGACGCACACGCAAGCGAACACGTACACGCCTATGCCCACGCGCACGCACGCGCAAGCACCATCACGCACGATCCTGCACGCATACATACATGTGTGTATGTATATACACACACACACACTGACGCTGACTGTCGATAAGCCGCAGACTCCATGTGTGCATAAGCAACCGAGGACTCAGCATGGCCCGGAGTTTCTACCAGAAGTACCATCGCTGCCCCGTTTGCCACTGCCACATCATCGCACCGCTGCGCCAGGAGCTGAGATTGTGTTGCCATTCCAGGGCAATCGCTGCGGAAATCTCTGCGAGGTGATGAGCAGGCGGCCAAGCGCGTAGTGCATGAAACAGGCCGGCCGGCATTGTGTCTCCGACCGGTCCACTTGGCAGCAATGGTCGGCAGGATGACCAGCATAAGGGGTCAGGGGTAGGCTTCTACAGTACGGAACTGCAGTCTTTGGACGGATGCTGTCTGATGCCGCTGCCGCTACTGCCGGCCGGCATATACTTTAGCCTCCTGCAGGCGACTTTGTCGCGATCGTACCGTATGCATCGACAGCCTATCGTGCTCGAAGCTTGGTGGCCTCCGTATCAGGAAAGAGTGCAGAAAGGCTTGTGTCATGCTGGTGGTGGGAAGTGCATTTTGTTAGATAGTTAGATCTATGCACTGTGCAGGAGTTGGAACACCCGGTTAGCCTAGGTCTCCATCGTTCCGAAGCAGCACGGCGCGTGTTGGTTGCAGCTCGGGTCATCCATCCAGCAGCTGGCATTCTTGCTGCAACTTGTGGTCGAGGCCTTTCCATGGAATCACAGACCATGCCGAATCCCCATCCGAAAAGCCAGAAAGAGCCCCCTAAACCCTAAACCTCATATAAACCCTATATAAACCCTAAACCCCTCTACAGAAAAGAACCCTGTGGCTTTTCCCAAGTGGCTTCCGGAGCTCCCTGGAGGCAATGCACAATCTGCTGGTGGATCCGCCGCAGCCTGAAGAAGGTTTGCTGAAGATTTGTTGGGGTTTAGGGTTTAGGGGGTTATGTGGGTTGTTTTTGGGATTTTGTATAGGCTGCCGGCTCTGGGCGTCTTGCAGCAGCGGAGTTTCTTTTGTGTGGATTTGCACCGAGATCCTACACGATGTACATTCTCTCGGTGGATGGTCAATCTGAGCTGGAGAAGGATCCGTCTCATGGCGCCTTCCCCACATCTGTGTGCACTTCTCCTCCCGAGAGTTTTGCCTCATTCCTCGATGCTGTTGACATCTGGGGGATTCCGAAAACAGGTGACCCTAATATAGTACCCTACATAATAGGATCCCTATTATAAGGACCCCCAAATAAGGTACCCCTGGTTTTCTGAAACTCCCATCTTGGGCACCAGGAGAACACGCTCCACGCCTTTCATTGGTCTCTGGAGATTCAGGTTCCGGGCTGAGCTTCCATAGCAGGAGCCCTTTGGGGCAGAGTTGGTTTAGGGTTTAGGGTTTAGGGTTTAGGGTTTAGGGTTGTACGACGCATGTTTTGTGCAAGTAAGGATACGTGAAGGTGTGACAGTACATCGACGTCCGGCTTCATTCTTTCAACACCTTTCCGTCTAGACCCGGTTTGACAGTGGTCTTATATCATGCTCCTGTCCATTCTCGTCGGTCATAAAGCTGATACTGATACTCCCACACCGAAGACGCAAGCTTGACCTCATCAATTCCGAAGTCCCCTGCCCCGAACCCAAACGGTGAGAGAATCCACCATGAGTGTTGCCACTCGAGCTTTCCACTGCTCTGAAACTCCCCTGCATTGGCTTAGGGTTTAGGGTTGGGTGTAAGGGTAAACCCGAAACCAAAACACTGCAGACGACGAGGATTCGGATATGTGACGTACAGGATAGGGTGTTGGGATGGGAGAGCTGAAGTCAATTGCACATTTTTTCGTAGGATGCCCCAAACCGGCTAAACCTTCAGCCTGAAGCACAACAGTAACAGCAGTGAGTGGTAAGGTTTTTGGAAGGGCCACAAATAGTCTCGTGATCAATTTGTGTGATGCGTGCAGATATCTGCATCTCCACCTCTATCGATATCTATATCCCCTGCGTCGGCGCCTGTCTCTAGACCTCTGTCTATCTCTCGCTCTCTCTATCTACCTGCCAGCCTGCCCGCCTGCCTGTATATGCTTCCATGTATACATGGGTCTCTATCTTTCCGAAGAGCTATATTGAACACAAAAATCTGCCTATGTACTCTATATAAATATACATGTATGCAAATATGTGTGTGTGTGTGTACTTGTGTATATATATATATATGTGGATAACGCACACACATACATACATGCATGTATGCATATACTTGTGTCGTATGTGTACACATATATTTACACACATGCATATGCCTACATATATATATATATACATGTGTGTATGCGTGTATATATGTACGTGTACATAAGCAAATACATATACATGTACAAAGCACATGTATATACATATACAGCTACATATACCTCTGCATGTACATGTAGTTTTTACATGAACATATACATACCTACATTCTTGGTTTTTTGGCATCATCATTGTCATCATCATCATCATCATTTCTTGGGTCAGCTGCCACAAGAATCTGGCCGGAGAGGAACGCGATCCTCGTGACAGTTGTAGGTTTAATACCCTCATGTCGGAGTCGTGGTTGGAAAGTGTCCACTGTCACAAGGATCGGGTGCGTTTGGGACGAGATTCTCGTGACAGATGACGAGTTTGGAGCCGCATGTGGGAGAAGCACGCACAGTCGCGGGGATGTGGCATATGTGGACTACCATTTGGGGGGGTGGGGGCTCGGCAAACGTAGAACCGGGATCATGCATATATATATATATATATGTAGGAAACAGAGGTGGCTAAGCCTACCACTCGCATACATATATACATACATACATACATACATACATACATACATACATACATACAAACAATCCTAGATACATGCATACATTCCTGCATACTTACACATGTTCAAAATATACACATATCCATATGTATGTTCTTTACATATGTACCCATACACGCATGCTTGCATGCCGGCCCACATGCATACATAATCGCAAGATATGCATACATATATATATATATACACACATGCACCCTTGCATATGTCACATACAAAAGTACACAATATTTGTATGAAAAAGCCAATATATGTATAAAAAATATATGTTTACGTACATACACATATAGATATACATACGGATATCTACCCACATACATACGTGCATGCTTACATGCATGCATCGCAGATGTATATATATATATATATATATATACATACAGGTGTGTATATAAACATATATCTAGAAATTTGTACATGTGTATACATACGCACATACATATATATGTAAATACAGACGTGTATACTTTTTAGATGCGTATCTGCATGTTCAACACATCAATCTATAGATATACACATAAGTATGTACATATGTATATACACACATATATATATATATATATATGTGTGTGTGTAGGTTTTTATGTATGTAGATTTAGTTATGTATGACACGCTGATCTTGAGAAAGCTGTGGATTGCATTGAGCCAGGCGAGGCTTCCGGTCGACTTCGGCCTCCAACTCTCCTCGGGTCTCCGCCTCTCCGCACGGCTCCCCGAGGAGATGTAGACTCACCTAAACCCTAAACCCTAAACCCTAAAGCTAGAAAGTTTGGGATTTGGGTTAGCAGGTTCTCGGGCTTTCGGGCTTAGGTTGTAGGGATTTGGGGGTTTAGGGGTTTGGCGTTTAGGGCTCCGGGGTCTCAGGTGTCAAGGGGTCCAGGGGGTTTAGGAGTTTAGGGTTTAGGGGTGTAGGGATGTAGGGTTTATGGGTTAACGGGTCTAGGGGTTTAGGGTTGGGGTTTAGGGATGATTGGGGTAGTATGAGCATCATTACGATGATGAATCCTAGTGTTTCGAAGGTTACTATGATCATTCGTGCTGCTCGTTTTCGTTTCGTCGGTTTTCCTTCTATTTCTCGTTGAACAAGCAGCGATGGTTGCAATTATGCTAGTACGTCATAGTACATCTACTGCAGTCTGTCTTGTCAGGTTCCTTCTATTCATGTTGGCTTGCTTCTTCAAAATCGGCGTTACATCAGTATCTGCGTGTCGCATTGCAAGTGCCAACGTTAAGAAAGCCACTACTCTCAATCAGCGCCGGTGAGGGCGTAACCTGTGAGGAAGCATGATAAGGAGCGGGGCTCGCCGTCACAGCTAGCATCGCTTCCGAAACAGTGATCTTCAACGGGATGGGGGTGAACGAATGACGGCAAGAAGGTATTCTAACAGAAAGAGGTCTACTACTGCTACTGTTACCGCAGCTGCTTCTGCTCCTGCTGCTGCTGCGGCTGCTATTGCTGCTACTACTACTACTACTACTAGTACTAGTGCTACTCCTCCTCCTGCTGCTGCTACTACTACGACTACGACGACTACTACTACTACTACTACTACTAGTACTACTTCTGGTACTACTACTACTACTACTACTACTACTACTACTACTACTAGTACTAGTACTAGTACTACTCCTCCTGCTGCTGCTACTACTACGACGACTACTACTACTACTACTACTACTACTACTAGTACTACTTCTGGTACTACTACTACTACTACTACTACTACTACTACTACTTGCTATTACTGCTGCTACCTACTACTACTGCTGATGCTGCTGCTGCTGCTGCTTCCCCTCCTCCTCCTCTTGCTGCTACTACCCGTACTGTTGCTGCTGCTGCTACCACTACTACTATTACTACTACTACTACTACTACTACTACTACTACTACTACTACTACGACTACTACTGGCACTGCTGCCGCTTCTGCTGCCACTGCTGCTACTGCTGCTGCCACTCGACAGCCGTGACAATTGTCACTGCTGGTGAATGCTCGTGGGAAGTGTTGACATGAATAGCAGCAAGTTCACATCGCTTTGGATCCTTGGAGGACTGTGCGCAAGATTTGAAAGCTGCAATGAGGGAGTGCCTGTCGCGCCGCGAACAATTGGTCGTTGACGACCTCTAGCCGAGTTTGTCGAGTTGTTTTGCGTTTTGAAAGCGTTGCATGAAGATTTGTCGGTCACACAAGCTTGACCGACTTCGGCCATGCAAGTGTTTTTCTCGAAGTGTTGTCTCGGGGAACTGACGTGTCGATGGCCGGGCCGGAGATGTAGTGCACAAGAGGGCGGAAAGTTGCCCGTGTAACGAATGTCGGAGTGTGAAGTGTGCAGCAGACAAGCCGCTCTTCGAGGCCTTTTAGCTTCGAAGCCAATTGAATGATATCCAGTCATGGCCTTGCCAGCGTTGTCAACTTGCAGAATGCCCGCTCAGCAAGCACAGTTTCGAAAGCTGTGACAGGTGGTGCCGACAACGTCGCAGTCGATTCAGTGCAACCTCTGTTGGCGCCTGAGGCAGAAAGGCAATCTGGGTCCATGCCCGCGTAATTTGTTTCTCAATCCGTACCTTCTGAAAGAGCTTCTCCAGCTGCTTTGGCAGAACCGGCAGCGTATCCTTTCAGGTTCACTGATGGACTGCTTCAAGTTGGCCAGGCGAGGCTTGCACCCTGAGCTTGTTCGGGTATGTGGCCGCCAGTGCAAGTGGGGGTTCCGAAAATAGGGGACCCTAATATAGTACCCTAAATAGTAGGATCCTTATTATAAGGACCCCAAAATAAGGTACCCCTAATTTTCGGAAACTCCCAAGTGATCCCGAAGGGCAACCGCAACCGCACACAAGGACTTGAAATCCAGGTCATACCGCGGGTTGCTGCTGCTGCTGCTGCTCCTGTCACTGATCCTGCTACTGGTACTGTTGCCTACAACAACAACAGCTACTACTACTTCTACTACCACTACAACTAGTACTACGACGCCGACGACTACTCCACTGCCACACATTGCTGTAGTCACAGCCGTAGAAGTAGCAGACCTGGCTCAGGCCCCAGCCGACGGTCACAGAGGAGTCCACAGAGGTTACCTTCCATGCATCCAGTGGATCCCAGGCACCCGGGTTCAGGGTTCCTATTTAAGTACTTAGGGCTCCTCTATATGGGTTTAGGGTCCCTGCTTGAAAGGGGTCGGGTGAAGGGTCGCGAGCGTAGGGGGTTATTGGGGTCAAGGGCTTGAGGGACGAACTCCTTGAAAAGTTTTCCTTGTGCTATAGATCATGCAGTTCATCGTGCCCTAAACCCCACGCCCCTGAACACCTTCCCCCTCCTTCTGCCCAGGGGGACGTCGTACTCGCAGACACAGCGCGCCGTCGGCGACCGTGCTCGGCTCAGCTGAGCTCAGGCAGAGCAGAGGTCGAGGCAGTCAGAGGCGTTCATAATGGCGACTGCCGACGTTCAAACTACTCTAAGGTTAGAAGTATGGGCCCCTAATATGGACCCTTGGGCCTTTCTAGGGACCCTTAAGGGTACATATAGGGTATATAGTCATGAACAGTCATGCTGCAAGTATTATAAGAAATCGTAGCAATCATGATTGTTAATAACCGGACAAATAAGAACAATAGTAGCAACAGTACCACTAGACGAGCTCAGGTTAAGAGCGAAAAGGAAGCGACGCTTCTCCATAAGACAATCATCCGGACTTCCGCGCTAAATGTCATGTAATAAAACTAGCAAAATATAATGCGACATAGTGTAGTAGAGTAAAGATGTTTATATAGTAAAAGACAATACAATACGATATAGTACGCACAGGATAGTAGAATTTGATACAAGATAATACGCAACACAATACGATACGATACAATCTCCATATGACATGATACAATACATTAGAATACACTCTGATATGAAGTAACATAACATAACATAACATAACATAACATAACATAACGTAACATAACATAACATAACATAACATAACATAACATAGCATAACATAGTTTAACTTCACATGTTACAACATAAACGGGTAAAGCATGACATACCATAACATAACATACTACAACATAACATAATGTAACATAACCAACACAAGATATTATAGTATGACATAACCTGACAAAACAAAACATAACATAACATGACATAGCATAGCATACCCCGATATAGTATACAATGGTATACCACAATATTATTTAGTACCGTAGTATATAACATAATATAGATGTGGTGTGTAGTATGATTTGGTAAAGTAGACAAGAGTAGAGTAGAATAGAAGTGTGAGTATAGACATATACAACATATATATATATATACACATACATACATGCATAGACACATACATCCATGCTGCTTCAGGGTTCGACCGCGCTTCCCGGGCGTGGCCGTGGATCCTGCCTCGGCTGGATGCTTGGAAAGAACGGGGGGGAGGGAGTCATCGTCGTCATGATCACCCTTAGCCGCTAGCTGGTGTGACTATGATATGAATAAACCCTAAACCCTAAACCCTAAACCGAGTATCATCAGTGCTATCAGAACTACTCACCAAGCTTGAAGAACCTTGTGCTAGGTCGGACTGGAGTTGCTGCGCGGCCCCCAGACGGACGAATTTGGGGTTCAGGAGACTTGGCAATTGGGGGTTGAGGGGCTTAGGGACAGTGAAATTAGGGCTTAGGGGTTGAGGGCCTGGAGTATAGAGGTTTTTAGATCCGCATCCATGCCGGATGATGCTGAAGACCAGCATCCAGTTTGAGATGTCCTTCCATGTAATTAGGAGTAGTCTGCCACGATTGCCCCTAAAAAACTTATAGTTTAATTTGCATCCAAACCCCAAACCTAAGCCCCGAATCCCCAAAACACCTAAACCTCTATAACCCCGAAACCTCTAAACCCGAAGCTCTGTTCCAAAGGCCCCGAATTCTGAGGCCAGCTTTGAACGAGAGCCAGCTTCAGTTTGTCCTGGTCAGGATCTCAGTCACTATGACTATGACCTATGAGTCTCTACTATGTGGGTGGTTGTCAAAATTAGGGTCCCTTTTTGGGGTACCCTAAATAATAGGTGCCGTATTATAGTAAGGACCCAAAAAGGGACCCTAATTTTGACAACCACCCATGTTACTACTAGACTATAATCACAATGTTGCTACTATACTGTAATCACTATGGTCTAACATACGATAATCTGAAATAGATGATTCTATACTTTCCTTCTGTTACTTTCGTAGCAAATAGATTGTACCACACTATACAAACTACAAACCCTAAACCCTAAACCCTAAACCCTAAACAGTGAACTAAAGTGTGAGCAGCAGGGTGAACTGAGTGAGTGTTGTGGGAATGAGGCTTGAGAGGAGCTTACTTTGCTCTGCTCTTTCCTGTTAGTGCATGCTCCTATGGAGCGAGCCTTCTGACCTCATGCGAGAGAAAGGGCTATTGCATTTTTTTTTAAAGAAAAACCCTAAATAGAAAAGGAATGCATGCAGTCACTGTGTGAGCATTTCAGGGACTTGCTTTCCCCCCCCGGGCAGCCTTGGGATGCCTTGAAGATTTCGCTGAAGCTCCTGGGATCAGGGTTGTATACTTTGATTTCAGAGTATAGGTGTAGTAGTAGTAGTAGTAGTAGTAGTAGTAGTAGTAGTAGTACTGGTACTAGTAGTAGTACTAGGAGTAGCGTTTGCACTAGTTGTCTGAGGTTGCTGCTTGGTTTTACCTACACATCTGTAGTGAAGCAATGGTGCATGCCAAGGACGGTCGTTCACGGAGGGCCCGGGATGCAGAAACACCTGCGCCGAGGGACTCTTGAAGTGGAGTGCCTCTGACAGTAGTCGCCGAAAGGCTTTAATAAGGCATCGCAAGAAGCCTTTTTCAAGATACCCGAGGAACTACGGACGTCAGACAGAGTGATCAGGACCCAACACCGGCTTGCATTCGTCCATTCAAAGGCTTCGTTCATGCACATACCTTTCAATGTCTCAGCGCCGTGACAACCTGCCAGTCATGAGACTGGCCTTTTCATGCTTTGCGGGCAAGAAGGCTTTCCTGGTGCTTGCACAGGCTCGTAGCTGGGTTGTGGTATGTTTTCTTTTGAAACTGGGGATCCCTTACTTCGGAGAACTTGCAGAAAGGCATTCAACAAGGACTCTAGCGTCTATGTTTCTACATGGGTCCCTCATGCAGCTCCCATGTCCCTGCCCTTACTTTGGCCGGGCATCTGCTCTTCATGAGGCTGCTGCTAGGCGCGGGGAGTCAGCACAGAGATCGGGCGTTGCGATCGGGAAAGCCGTGCCGCAATCGAGGGCCGCGAAGCTGTGCCCTTGGATCCATACTGCATGTTTGCGCCCGAAAAAAGCTCGACTCTTTATCATATTCATTTTGCTGACGTCACGTCTTCCGGCAAGAGTGGCCGACAAGATGCCGAAAGAGGGCATTGATGCTCAGCATAGGTCTTGCAATGCACAGAGCGGTCGTAGAATCTTCATGCACGCTTGTGACATGACAACGAGCATTTGTGTTCTGTGTGGTTTTCGTTACATGATTTTGCACCACCTGTAGGCTATTACGCAAAAAATGCTGTGTGTCTGCGGGTGCTGAGGCGAGACAGATGCAACACTCGGTAGAAACCAGTGAAACAAGACAGAGGGGAGCCTTATCGGTTCTTGGGGACTTTTTCCAGCAGGCTTGACTTTGCCCTTGCGTCCGTGATAGCAGGGCAAGTTTGGGGTTCTCAGGCTGCATTAGCGCTTTTCGGTTCTAGGGGTGGGGATGCGGCTCTGACAAATTTGGACGCGTTTGCCACAACCGCTCAGAAGCGAAGCGGCAATTTTGCAACTTTGGCTCTTATGCCCAAGAAGGACTCCTTGCACCAGTGCTCTCCAATAGCCGCCCCTCCCTCCGGAGCTGTGCCCTCAAAATGCCCAGCTACAAGCTTACCTACTTCGACATCCGCGGCCTCGCTGAGAACGCACGCATCTTCTTCGCAGTGGCAAAGGTGCCTTACGAAGATGTGCGTCTCTCCTTGACGTTCGGAACGCCTGGAGACTTCAGCACCATCAAGCGTCCAGAGTTCGATGAGATGAAGGCCTGGGGGAGTAGCCTGCGCGGCGTTTAAACATGTCAAACGCTCTCAGAGCATGCAGCGAGCTTCCGATTCAGGTTTTGGGAGGCTCTATATAGGGGTTTGTGCCGTTGCCTCAACTATTCCGCAGCTAATCGGGTAGTCCTAGGCCTTGTTTCTTTTGAGCATGTAGGGCTTGAGCAACTCTCCTAAGGGGGTTTAAGCGATTGGAAGGTTTGAACGGTGTTCGGTGGTCCAAACCGTTTAAACATTTCTGTGGACAGGAGCCCTGATGTTTAAACATGTCCGCGTTTAAACAGCCAAGGTTCAAACAGCCTAAACACTTTGCCTCGCCCAACCCTGGATGAAGGCCAAGGGTGACCTCGACATCTCTCTTGGCAAAGTGCCGCTGCTGGAGGTGGATGGTGGGGACCCCGGCAATATCAACTTGAGGTACTGAGGTACTTCTGGATTGCAGGCAGCAGCTGCAGAACGCCCTGAAGTTCGCCTTGAATCCTTGAATCCTCCTGAAGTTCACCTCTGCCCTGAGGCGCGAAGATCGGCCAGTCCAAGGCCATCGAGCGCTACCTTGCCAAGGAGCATACTATAATCACTATGTTACTACTATACTATGATCACTATGTTGCTACTATACTGTAATCACCAAGGAGCTTGGCTTGGCCGGCTCCAGCCCCGTCGAGGCTGCGCAGGCAGCGGATGGAGTCCTACTCGTGTAAACGCAGGGAGCAACAGATAATTGGAGCAGGCGGCAATGTAATCGCTGTCGTGCAAAGTGGCTGCTGCTACTATCTTGCCTACTTCTGCTGCTTCAGCTGCTGCTACTACTACGACAGAGGACGATGAGGAGGACGACGAGTACAGTTAATACTGACGGCTCCGGCTACGGCTTCTTCTGCTGCTGGTGTACGGATTGTATCGATATTGTCATGACTGCTGGTGCCACTGTTTGTCCCAGTGATAACCATGTCGTGCCCGTGTTAGCATCCTCACCGGGGCTGGAGACAGGTCGATCAGCTTGGCGAGACCGTCCGTGACATCAAGGATGCATACCAGAAGGTCGCCTACTCTGATTGCTGTATCCCAAATTGTAAAGTGTAAGCGCGATCTCCTAGACACATATCCTTGAACCGGTATTTCCTAGGTTCGCGGACTCCAAGACGAGGAGGCAAAGAAGAAGGCACGGCCAGAATGGCCCACATTGGCTTGCATCTTGAGCTTTTGTTGACCTGAGCGGGCGCGTCGGTGTACCCGTATGTACCCGTATGTCTGCATGTATGGGTTTACTGCGTCTGCATCGTGGATGTAATGTATGTCCACAACTCATGCATGTGCATAATGCAGAATATGGCATGAAAAAGCGAACGATCGATAGTTGGAATACAAGCGCGACCTCTGAGACTATCACTGGTACCCCGAAATCCGCTGTTACCTCGTTTTTGGTGCTTGTCCTTCTTTGCCATCATATAGATCCCTTCAAGGGACCCTCAAACCCTTATAGTACCCTTATAGATCCCTTAAGCGGGCCCTTAGACCCTTCTAGCAATTGTGTAGGGGCCCCTCAGCCTAGTAACTCAGGGCATGGAGAAATGGTTCGCCGAAGATCTTCCCAACTGGGTGAAGCTGGCCGAGAAGTCTCTGCCTGCCGGGCCCGGGCCGCCCCTGGGTGAAGACGTAGAACTACTGAGAGCAGTCTTCGAAAACCCCGGTGGTTTAGGGTTTTGAGGTTTAGGGCAACAGCAAAATTCAGAACAGCATCAAGAAGCGCTAGGACTGGGAGTAACAGGGGAAGAGGAGTTGCAAAAGGATGGGCGACTTCTGCGGGTTGCAGGAAATGGGGCCCTATACACTATACACTACTACACTGTACTCGAATGTAACATACAGCATAAATGGCTACCGTCCGTCATTTTGGTGGAGGGCATGGTCATTTTCTACAACTATATATGTAACATACAGCATAACACGAGGTTCATGGTCGGGGGCAAAGTCTCTGCTGCGGACCTGCTCTTCTACACCCTCCTCCTGGCACCAGGAGGCAGCTTGGAATGGTAAGCATAGGGCTGGAATATGGGTTTAGGGTTTAGGGTTAGGGTTTAGGGTTAGGGTTTAGGGTTTAGGGCTGGGATATCGTTTCCAGAAATATGGCGGTACCTTATTTTCTAGAGTCCTTATAATAAGGATCCTACTANNATATTGGGGTCCCCTATTTTCGGATTTGAAAAGGGGTGATACCCTGGAGTATGTAGTGATGATGGTAGGGGGGTTCCGTATATCATTATTACTACTGCTGATCAGTAGTCTTTGCTACAACACCATTATGGTTATCCTGATAACAAGTATCGTTACTATAAACTAGTTTATAGTATTGCGAGTATTGACCGTTGCGATTGCCCCTGTTGGTCTTGTTTTTCGTCCTGTCAGTCCTGTCATGGAAAAGGGTGGTGAACAATATTCTGAAACTTTTTGCACTTTCAAGGTATCATTGCATACACGATGGCCTGGAGCAAGTTGAGGCCTACCC